TTTGCAGTGGATTTTGTAAATCACACCACTTGTTTCTTCTTTGCCAAGCCGGTCCTTACCATTGAAGAGCTTGTCTCGGATGGTTTCCGTCGGCTTGTGAGCAACTCTGATTCCGAAAGGTAGTAGCAGTCTCACCGCCATCTCAGAGACACCATTTGTGTATGGTAGAATGATTGTCTTTTTATCCGTTTCTGATGTTTGTTCATGCGTCGGTCGCTTTATTGATGTTAAACAACGTAGAATGAAATTCCTAGGATACCCATTCCGTGTAAACATTTCGAATAAATGATGTTCCTCCGCTTTCCTCAGCTGCGGGGTGCTGCAATGTGTCTGCGCTCTTTTAAATAGAGTTGTTACGCAGCTGCGCTTGTAGACTGTTGGATGATTGATGCGATAATTCAGGATTTGGTCTGTATGCGTCGCTTTCCGTTAAACTGTTGTCTCCAGTTGTCCAGCAGCATGTCTTTTTACTAACACATCTAAGAATGGTAGCTGACCATTGTTCTCCTCTTCTTTAGTGAAACGGATACCAGTAAACGTGTTGTTTATTAACTGATGTGTTTCTTCCAGTTTCGAGCGCTTTAGGATGACAAAAGTATCGTCCACGTAGCGTAGCCAGAGTTTAGGTTTTGCGACCGGGAGTGCGGTTTCCTCCAATGCTTGCATCATCGCTTCGGCCACTAGTCCAGATATCGGTGAACCCATTGGCGTGCGTGTTATTTGTTCGTAGGTTTGGCCGTTGAAACTGAAGTGTGTCGTGAGGCATAAATCCAACAACTCCATCATGTGGATGGCATCTATTCTATTGTTCGTGTCTCGATGAACAAACTCTAACGTCTCACTTGAGAACGCATCGTACCGATTTTGTCAAGATGCCAATCCATGTGTGTGCTAAGTTATGTAGGGAAACACCATGGATACTGTACTCTTCTACCAGCTTCACTGAGGATTTCAACCCCCTAAGAGTCAGGATATGCAGTGTCGATGTGGGTGAGGATCCAAGAAAAGCACCAGGCACCACCGGGTTGCATTGCAAGCAGGAAACCGCTCGCATGATGTGGGACCTTCAGTAGATGGCGCATACTGATTGAACTACCCCCCAGTATAGGGAACGGTAATTTCACACACCTGTCCTTGTGTTTCTGTTACCAATTCCTGCCACTCTGCTGTGGGGAATAAGTCAGAAAATATGACACAGGAGGTCACTGTGAAAGTTAGTGTCGACGCAGCAAGAAAGAAGAGATTAAGGGGAGGGTCTAAGCTGAAAAAGTCAAAAATTGTGCGTTTCTCAGAGCTCGATATATATGTCTAGATATAGTCAGATCTTCATGAAATTTTGCAGGGAATATCATTATTTATCATGCAAATAATATATGATAGAGAAATAAAGATAAGTATGTTTATTATTTTTTTATTCACATTTTAGTAAGGTACCTAAATTAGTGATGCCGAATTGGTTGTTGTGGCGTTCTGGGTCCCATCAAAAAGTATTCTATGTATAGAGCTAATATTTTGTTCAGTTATTTAGATATAGTTCAGCTTTAGAATAAACTATGCTCAACTCTGTATCTGAATTAGATCTTCCAATACTGATGTTCAGATTTGCATAAAAATCTGAACTGAGGTTAAAAGTTGACCACAAGTGTAGGACACTTAAAATTAGTTTATTCCATGCAGAAACTAAAGAAGAGCATCTCCTCCAAATTTTATTGACTTTGGACTATTAGTTTTGAAATTATCCTCAGAACGCTGACGTAAGAGTGAAAAAACGCAGTTTTGAGAAAAATGGCTTTAAAGTTGAAGTACATGAAAAAATGAAAGTCATTTAAACTTTTCTGGCATATCGGTAATTTATACAAATTTTGGTGATGTCCCATGATATGATTTACGTAGAAAAACTAACCTGGACTACTCATAGGCACCAGCAAGATAGAAATCTTCGATGTCTTCACACTCCCTTGAAGCCGCTACTTTCCGTGCTCGTCGTTCAGCTGGCAGAAGTCCGGCAGCTGCTGCATGAATTCTTGTTCTGTCTAGTTCATTACAACACAGTCTGGTATACAATCCAGTAGACATCCCCAACTTCTCAAATATAGGCAGCCTACCCCTCTCTCTATCATTGAAAACCACTGCAGCATCAGCAACTGCAAGAGTAAGCCTTTGCCTTCCAACAAAACCAGCCTTTGGACACCTTTGCCAAATTAAATTGTGAAAACTTTCATCTGTATTTTGTGTTCCTCCATGGGCACACTTTGACAGTAATGTCTCACTGGCAAGAGTTTCGAAAACAGGCCTGATAGCCTTGCACACATAAGGAGGGAGAGCATTCCTGTCAGAGTCTCCAGCTGGCTGCTTCTTGGAAGGACACCAGTCTCCACAGTTAGTGTGATCACGGTTGCGGTGTTCCCATATGGCTCATATATCTTTTTGCATCTGAGGCACATTATTAGTATTTCTTCTTATTGCAGCCCCATAATGTCCTTGAATGTTTCACATTGCCTTCTTTGTCAGACAACCTCACCCACCGATTCCTTGCACACTCTTGCCATTACCTTATTGGTCAGGTGTCGCCCCATTCTCTTCTGCACGTGCCCACAACACTCAAGTTTGGAAATGTTCACATCATTATACACAGGTGGTTCTGCATTTGATACTGATGCATAAGATTTACTGTCACCATCTCCAAAAAAAGAAACATAGTGCAGTCCATGTAATTGCTCACTTCGGCGGAATATTTCTAGTGCTCCAGCTGGCTCCATGCTGCCTGCTGACCCACTGTGATTCTTGTCGCAGTCTTGTACATGTGAACACTTCCATGCCTGAAACTCGGTCTCTGTTTTATTCCTCTGGCTTTTTGCACAAGCGTTGCAATAGTGCTGGTCCACGGTGTTCCAGAACTTAACCATGGCGATATAAATGAACATCAGAAGCACGATATAGAAGAGTGGAGGTACATAACGGAGCTCTACAACATACAAAATATCGTGACTTTCGATGTCACCCGTCTAGCGGCCTCTTAAACTATCAGGGTAACGGGCCAAAAATTTTGAAAGTCACCGTGGCTACACCTGAGATGGTATCAATGGCTGTCCAAGCGTGGCACGACAACAGAAAACGTGGGCCACCTGAAGTACGTTTAAGACCGTTCCTAAACAAAGTACGGGCCACAGATACAGACGAACCGGACTCGGTTGTTCCTAACTCAGGTCAGACAAATGTGCAAACGCCTCTGACAAAAAACGTACGCAGACCGGCACAATCCGTGCCGGTCAACCACAACGAACCGAGCTCCTAATGTATCAACAGATACAGTGCTGCTACACAAACGCTCAGGGGCTCAACTCTAAGCTACCTGAATTGCGCCATCGACATAACACAATCAATTGGGATATCATAGCTGTAACTGAAACCTGGCTCTCCAATGACATGCTCGACACGGAAATCGAAATCAGTGATATGTCAGTTATTCGCAATGATCGTCCATCTCGCGGTGGCGGCGTTGCTCTGTACTATCGGAATTGTCTGAGATGTGAGGCTATTAACGAACGTCACCTTGCTGTCTCCGACGCTTTGTTTTGCCGAATGCAGCTAAATGGCCGAGGTGGTGAACCTTCGAAGAAGACGTGGGATGCTTGTCTGTTGGCAGTTGTCTACAGGCCACCGAACTCCACCGCAGACCGAGATGACATTCTGTTAAACGCGCTTCATTATGCAGTTTCTCAAAAGTACTCACATTGTCTAATCATGGGCGATTTTAATGTACCCTCAATTGTCTCAGCGACTTCTAGTGGTCCTTACTTCAAATCAAAGATTCTCGAGTTTATGGATACAGCAGCTCTGTACAACCACGTGCACCGACCAACTAGACACCGCGGTTCAAATAAGCCATCGCTTCTGGATTTAATCCTAACCAACGAAGAGTTGATGATTGAGACAATTTCATACGATCCACCATTAGGCAACAGTGACCACTCAGTGTTAAATTTTGCCTATGTGTGTTACGCCAATACTACTGAAATCAGACATGAAAACCGACGAACTATAACCAACTATTCCGTGCTTCACAGCCTAGCGACAACCGTCAACTGGGACCTCAATCTGCAGAGCACGGCAGACGACGCGTGGAACGAACTAAAAGACAAAATTAGCTGTGTCACGCAAGCAGCCTCTAAAGTCATACCATTACGAGTGCCGCGCCGGACCAACACCTGGATCCGAAGCAGAACGCGTAAATGGATTAGCACCAGAGACGAGATCTGGAGACAATACGCGCTGAACAATTGCGACGCCACCTGGGAGAATTACAAAATAGTGAGGAACTATTGCACATCACTGATTAGAGCCGATAAGTACGAATGGCAAAAAAACATGGTACTTAAATTCACGAACAATACAAAACTGCTGTACAGGTACGTGAACAGCAGAAGGAAAGTTAAAACAGGAATACCACCACTCAAGACGGATGGTGGCCTAACGACTACTGCTGTGGATGCTGCGAACGCATTACTTCTGCAGTTTGGCACAGTGACTGCAAACGCCATAGAACCTTTGCCAAACCAGCATTCACCCAACGTGGTCGGCATATCAACTGTCACTTTTACCTCAGCAGCTGTCGCTAGCAAACTACGGTCTCTAAGAGAAAATAGCGCTCCGGGAGTCGACAAGATCAGACCCAAAGTTCTTAAAACTCTTGCTCTCACCATAGCAGCACACCTCGCAAGCTTTTTCCAAAGTCTACTCAATTCCCAAACACTTCCGTCTGAGTGGAAAAGCGGGATAGTCACTCCGATATACAAAGGAGGTAAGCGATCGGATCCTGCCAACTACCGACCCATTACTCTCCTCCCTGTTTTATCAAAAGTAATGGAATCGTTAGTTGCAGATGAAATTACACGATATTTTGAGAGTCTGAAGCTAATTTCTCACCTCCAACACGGCTTTAGGCGCAAACGATCTTGCCTCACAAATCTGCTTCTTGCTCGGGATTCATGGACCAAAGCGCTTGATGAAGGATCCCCCTTGATGTGATTTACCTAGACTTTTCGAAGGCATTCGACAGAGTCAATCACTTAGCTCTGCTTCATAAGCTTCGTGCCTACGGTATCCATGGTTCCCTACTCACCTGGCTAGCAGCATATTTGCATGACAGAACGATCAAGGTCAGAGTCGCCGATGCCCTCTCGGAAACCCTCTGCATCTCCAGCGGTGTTCCTCAAGGATCCGTCCTTGGTCCCCTCCTTTTTCTGGTCTACATTAACGACCTCCCGGATAATATTCAATCCTCGATGCAAATTTTTGCAGATGACGCAAAAATCTGGAGAGTTATTCGCTCAACATCAGACTGTGCCCTCCTCCAGAATGATTTGGATCGAATCAACAAATGGGCAGATATAAACCACCTCCCCCTGAATCCTGCCAAGTGTCACCTACTGTCATTGCGCAGCAATCTTACCAACACGTACCTCTTGGGGCAGTACGTTTTACGGCGCGTGACCACAGAAAGAGACTTAGGTATCATTGTGCAAGAAAGTCTGGGGAATTCGCTCCAATGTTCGAAAGCAGCAAACGTGGCGAACATGAATCTGAGACTTTTGAGGCGAGCTTTTGGTGTTTTTGAACGACGGTTGGTACCCATGCTTGTCAACTCCTATATCCGTCCCCACGTCGAATATGCCGTCCAGGCTTGGTGCCCATGGTTAAAACGGGACATTCATCTCTTAGAGCAGCCCCAACGAAGAGCTACCAAGGCAACACGCGGATTATCTGGTCTCAATTATGAAGTGCGTCTCAGTTTAATCGGAATGTTTTCCTCCGAATACCGACGACTACGCGGAGATCTCATTCTCGCATACCGGATATTAACGGAAAGCGATCACCCGTGCAAATCGCTGCTCACCCTAGCCTCATATAAGCGATCGAGAGGTCATAACCTCAAGCTGATAATCCAACACTCCCGATTAGACTGTAGAAAATATTTTTACTCTCTTAGAATCTGTTCACAATGGAATGACTTGCCAACGCATGTGGTAAACGCTCCGAACATTACAGCCTTCAAACAATTGTTAGACATTCATCTGAGTGACAAACAACACATTGTGGTGTGATGTACTAGGTTTAGACTATTGGCATTTCAGTTCCATGTCGGAATCTAATGATTTTTATTTATTTTGCATTTACCATCCTATGGGTCTTGTAAAGCCAATGCTTTTTATCCCATCATACACTATTGAACTATTGACAAAACTGACGTGTCGAGAACCTTCGAGTTATGGCCATTCACTGTGAGAACTGTGACCACGCCATTTTTGTTTTTGAACCCCCTTCTCTGCCAAGTGCCATCACAAGAGATTGTTATATTTTCTCCTTTCTTTTCCTTGACCTCATCTGCAGCTCTCAGCATACTTTCTAGGGCAATGGCCTGTGTAGCATGAAGAATCTTCTTATGAAGAGACCAGCTGCTTTTATGCGTATTTGAAGGCATGTTCATATTTCCAAGAAACTTCTTGCCATGTTTATAATTCCTTCCTATGGAAAAGAGAGCAACTAGATACCTTCCATTGAATTCATAAGTCTTCCCACTTTTTGCAGAGGACATAAATGATACTTCATGCTGACACTGACAGTGGAAAGTGAACTTTGAGGCCAGTGAGCTTCTGTTTTCAGTCACCTAAGATTCGTTCTTGCCCAGAGGCTGTCTACACGGAGGGCACAACAAACTGTCTACAAAGTTAACAAGAAATTTAACATCAATAAATCGAAAGCCTGTTAGCCCCTCATTTGTATCAAACTCCAACTATGAATTTGGAGATCCAAGTTTGGTGCTAGAAGCAGATGTCGAAGGTTTATTTACATCAAACTTATCTTGTGTTTCTGGCACAAAATCATTATTGTCATCACTTCCAGCAGCTTGTTCTTGCTTCTTAGCGTAGCAGTTGCCACAAAATCTACGTTTCCTTTGTGTATAAGCTGCCTTTTCTTTTCGTTTTCCCACAATTAGCGAAGATGTGCTCACAAAATCGTCACATACACGAGTACTGTGTTTTGAAAAATCCAAGATAGCGGCTTACTAGCAACCGCTTAGACGAGCTCACTGATTGGTTCAAATGGCGCTCTTCTCTCACTTTAAGAACCAATGAAAATGGTTTTTTTAACTGCATGGTAATGCGGAATTACCAGATAGGCCTTGCAAAGCCGAATCGAATGCAACTTGAATGAAGTTTCTAGGACCTCTACAAGCCGAGATGCAACATTTTAAATTTTACGCATATATAATGAGCTTGAATACATAGAAAAACAAGTCACACATTCTTCACAAAATGCTGAAATACTGCATTACAAATGATGCTAACAGAAAAATGGTTCGCAGATTTATATTCTAGGATGACTGCAGTTGACATTTGTATGGTTTTCCAATATGGTCATAAATTACGATTTTTCAGATTTTTCAGCTTAGACCCTCCCCTTAAAACTCGTCACTGGAGCGGTGCTGTGTGAGACCAGTATGTTGGAAAATCTGCCTATTCCATCCTCTTCGATTCGCAACTGGTGGTGCATGGCGTTTGATCACCTATACATCCACTACAACTTAGAGTTATGGCGGAATTGGAAATGTGGCACTCCGACATGACAGTTACGACTAGCGTTATCTTAGACAGTGCATCTGAACACGCATGAAATAGATGATCACCGAGGGAAGTTGTGTCAAGCTATTGAGAGAACAAGGCTAACTAGGCTAATGGAAAGGTTTTTTAGCCGTCGTTGTAAACGTCCACGGCTCAATGTTGTCTATGCACATACAGAAACAAACAAACAATGTTAATGAAGTACAACGCGCAGTAATAATACTTCGGCATTACTTGCCTGACATAAACTCATAATGGACTTTCCGATACGAGGGAGGCCTTGTTTTTCTGCCAATTCCTCACCTGACGGACAGGGCACCTTTAACTCTGATTGCGCTTTCTTGCGAATACGGCTTAGCTGCTATCGCATGTAGCAGACGGCCTGGTGCTTATTACTTTATACGGACTTTTTGTACGGGGACCAACATGTGTCCAGCAGCTAAAGGCGCGCAAGCAGTCGGTTACCTGACAGACAGCTGTAGAAATGTAACCTCATGGGTGTTGTTCTACTTTTAGCCGATTTATATGGATAATAATAATGCGAATATTTCCCGATTGTACTCGAAGCTGTCCCTGAATTGTGGACAGATCATGGGTACAATACTTATCATGCTCATGGATGAGTGATATATGTAATATGCGGTGTATGATATCAAAATAATTTGGAATCACGTAACTTCTGTTGTTGCTGAGTTCTTTGTACCATCTTTAATCATTGATTATATATTCCTTGGTCCATCCTGAAAGAACTCGTGTGGTGATTTACCCGATGGAAACATGATCATTATCGAGTTCTGGTCAAGGAATTTGCTAAGCTGAATGTCGAATGCTCTTGCATTTGTGCAAAACCTGATTGGGGCTGGTAGGCTATCCCACACAACAGCGTATCTGACGAGGAAGAATTTGGATCGGATAGCTGTCCTGGTTCTCGGCACACATAATCTACAGGTCTTGTTGCGTATATTCCGAGTGAAGTTATGTTGAATTTTAAGTGTACACAGTTTGGAGTATATCTTTTGGTTTTTGAGATTGTGTATCAGCATAAGGTTATGTGTCAGTCGCCGCAACCAAAGGGGCTGGAGCTTAAGCTGCTGACAGCGCTCCTGATAACTCAAGGTGGTTGATTTACTGAACAAGCGCTTAGTGAATGATCTTTGCAGGTTTCCCAAAGCTTTCCTGTTACCCATTCGCATGTTCCTCTAAATGATGCTGCAGTTTTCAAGGACAGGAAGTGTAAGTATTTTGAAAAGCTCGAGTCTGACAGTGGTTGTGTAGATTTTATGGCATGTTAGCCACAGATCGTTTGGCACGTGCTATTTGATACTCAGCTTGCTCTGAGAAATTAAAGTTTAAAAAGTATCGTATGCCTAGATCACATTTGGATAGTTTCACACAGATACGTTCATTGTTCAGTTTAACAGACTCTTCAGGGATTAAACATCCGTGTGACATAACGTATGATTTACTAGCTGAGAAATTTGTCATCCATGTGTTGCACCATTTCTTAAATGAATCGAGGTCTTCTTGAATGAACAGCATTGCGCTATTAAGTTCGTCTCGTCGAAATGCATAAACAATCTTTATGTCATCGGCGAACAAAAATGGCCTGCCATGTTTCATGAACACCGTGATATCCTTAATATATCATAGGAAAAGCGAAGGACCAAGTACACTCCCTTGGCTGACACTACTAGTGATTGGACGTGGGGAGGATTTATGATTACCCAGAGTGCCTATATCTGGTAACGCCCATTTAGGTATGATGTCAACCAACCAAATAGTGGGTCTCTGATTCCAAACGACTCGATTCTTTTCAGTAGCCGCTTGTGAGGCCCTCTGTCGAATGCTTTCTGCATATCCAGGAACAGTATTATAACTGCATATTTCGAACCAATGGCTTCTGTGATGTAATCCAGTTAGTGCAACTGACACGTTGTACAGGAACACATTTATCGAGGAACCTATGCTGGGATTTGTTAAGTAACCCATGACGATGGATAAAGTCCATGGATGCTAATGTTACCGGATCTCCAACTGTTCTTCTCCTTTCTTTCCAGTCAACCATGTCGTTTTTAGGGCCCTTTTCCTAGTCTTATCCTTTTGTCACCAACCTCCTACCTTGTATTTTTTGAATGACGTCATCGTAGCTAGTAGGATTTATAACTCAATCAGTTGCACTGCAAGTACGAGTTCCGTGCTCTTTGTATCCTTACGTTAAATAAATCAGTAGCTATTGTAGTTAGTATTCGGGAAACATTTTTCGGGTATTCTGATTTTCGTCGCTTCATCGATGGAAACGCATTCCCTCTATCCAATGACCATAGTTGGTATCCGATAGGTTAATGAATGCACTAATTAGTACCCCAATACTGTTGTACTCAGGTGGCTTCTTTGGTCACTCACTTGTGATTTACTTTATCGTGTGTCATTAAGGTGATATTAAAATTCGTTCTTATGTTTTGTCCGACACTCGAGGGTCACAACGTGCTCAAACAGTGCTTAAACATATACTGACCATATGAGCTGTTCACAGCTCCCTTACTTACATAACCCACCTCGTCAACTACATGTGGTTACTGACGTGCAGTATATATGGCTTTCAGTCTGTCGCCACTTATGAGCCAATTTTTAATTATCCATTGAATTTTACTAGACGATTCCCTCTAATATCATCACAGAGTCGCCAGCAACACCATGGATACAACGTAACTGTCGACTGATTAACTACTGAATTTCAGCTGTCCAAAGTGGTACGTTGTCTCTCTGACTGAATAACTTAACCGTCAGTTTAGAAAACGACTAGTCCACACAGTTGAATGA